CTAAAATGTGGAGTTAGGATCCTGAACGCCAACGTGGGCATTGTTTGACTCATTCAACATGAGCTGAACAGTTCTAAAACCGTTTCCCACGATTTGGGGGCGGTTACACCCCAATTAGGAGAGATTTAAGGGGCGGTTTCACCCCCTTAATCCTCTATAAATAACCGAAGATCAATTCAGTTCAGGGGGGCTGCTCTTTCGGTTCAATTTTCTTGGCTTGGATCGACCACTGGAGACAGGCTTTTGAGGAGATCGACATCATCTTCCAACGAAGATCATCTTCAACTTCAGCAACAGGGAGCCTCTGTCCTTAGCTTACAACCGATCTTCGGTTCAAATCAACTCTTTTTCAAGAGTTCAAACTCGATCTGAGTTATCAACTCATCAAGAGTTTTAAACTTGCGACGCAAGTTCTCCACAACGTCAAATCGTGAGGAGAAGATATCGTTCCAGTGAATCAAGACGTGCGGATCGTCAACGGAGAGCAAACTCGACGCAAGCATTCGGGGGAGGCACTCCATCGCTGCCAAGAAGAACCCAGTTTTAAACAAAGGGGAAAACCAAATTCGTTTTCCTCTCTTTTGTAATCAAGTTGTAACCGAGATCAAAGGAATCAAAATCATATTTTCTTTATTCTCTTCTTTGCAATTTTTCCAACATACAGATACCTCACCTAAAAGGGTGGAAACTGATAAATGGATGTCTAGAGGCTGAGCTATGAGCTGGAGTCTAGACATAAAAGCATATGAAATGAAAGAATACGAAGCTCACAAATCGAAGAGAATACGGGCAGGAAAATAATTCACAAGGAACGTACCCTCCACTACGGCTCCGCTAGCTCCATGATCACGCGGAACTACCGCATACACTCTGTCTGTGGCTGAAGACTGCTCTACTATTGGTGCTGGAGAATACGAAACTATCTGTCCCTAGGGAACCTCCTGAACTGCACGAACCTATCCCTCAATCTTCTAAGCTGTTGGCGGTGCCTCAAGCCTCATCTGTTGGCCCTGACCTCTGCCCTAAAGTCACTGCTGCTGCTGATTCGAACACTTTCCCTGTTGAGCTCTTGCTGGTGCGCTGCAGCACTCCTATGCTTTGTGTTCGACCTTACAATAGTTATAGCAAACCCCCTGAAACTTACACTGCTGATGCGCTCTCTGATCCTGCTGGGGTCCCTTCTTATGAGGGCCCTGATGCTGCTGCTGAGGTCCAGAAAAAGGTCTCTTGTTCTTACCCTTATCCCCGGTCTGTCCTGTCTTAGCTTTCCCTTCCTTGTCTTTCTGAAACATGGCCGTCTCAATTTCCTGTGAAGTGGCGGCCTCAGCTACCTCTCGTACCGAATAAAACTTCCTCGAGACGAGGTATCGATAAAGATTAGGGCAAAGCCCTGCTAGAATCATCTGAGCTTGATGTTCTCATGTCTGGCACATACCCGTGAAGTGCAGCAACTCCATAAACTTGCTCTCAAAATCAGCTACTGCCATATCCCCATGAGTCAATCGGGACAACTCAATCTCCTTTCCAGTCCGTGCTGCAGAAGAAATGTACTGCCCGTCAAAGAAATATACAAAATCCTCCTATGTAAGGGTCATCCTATGCTCTGGAGTAAACTGGAGTTGGTACCATCTCCCGACGTCTCCCTTCAGACTGTAAGATGCCAGTCTCTGCTTCTGAACTGAATCCACATTGAGTATGTCAAGTACATTACTCACATCCTCCTTCCACTTATAGGCTACAAGAGGGTCTGATGACCCCTGGAACTCCGGTGCCCTCCTGCTTTGTGGCTCTATCCGGGACTGCTGGTGGAATAGCTGCAGGTGTGATCTCTGAGGATCTCTCTCTGATGGGAACGGCCGGTATCCCCTGTGGCTGAGCTACCGGTGGTGGTGGTGGCGTGATATGATTTGCCACAAGCTCCTCGATTACTGTCATCCTAGCTATAAGGGGAGCCATGATATCTACTAGATAATGAGGTGCCTGCTGCGACTCAGTTGGTATCTGCTGTGGCTCGGGTTAAGATTGCTGTGGCTCAGGTAGAGCCTGCTGTGACTCTGCCTGTCCAGCTCTCCGAGTACGAGGTCTACCACGTCCTGTCATCTCTGATA